CCACCAGGGCCACAGAACAATAATATTTCATACCAATCTCTCCTCAAGGCTCAGGGTGAGGGCACAACATAGTTAAAAACGCATCACCATAAAACATTGTGTAGAATACATATATTGAAACACATTTCTATGAAATACATGCATTAAAATACACAGAACAAAGATTAACAAACTGTAAACACAGGACACAGTAAAATGCAGTTTGACACCACTTTAGCTCTCATGGTTCAAAGCTACGGAATCCCATTGAGTAGGCTGGCTAATGCTTCTACGAGTTGGAGGCTCAAACTGCTGGAGGATGCCTGGTGTTGATGCGCCCACAGCTGTCCAAAGGAAGGCCGTGGAGCCCTCTCTACGGCGCATGCGCACAACAACTCGAAGGATTCAATTCCTATCCCGCAGAGCCGCGCTCTCCGGCTTCGTCGCCGGGAGGCTCAGCCCGAAAAGCTCCCAATATGGGGCCCTCTATACAACCGACCCCACATAGTCCCATCCCGCGTTGGTACCCACGCAGGTACGGAGCGTACCGAGGAGGATGAAAGCGGATTACGTGAAGAAGAAACCGATCTAAAAGAGAAGGAAGCCACTCACCATCTTGACGCTCCTACAGGCCGCAGAAAGAAAGAAAGACGGCAGGAAATGCGTCACTGCGCATGCGCGCCACTAGCCCCGGCTTCTCAGCCGACAGGAAGAAAAAGAAGCACGTGATCCAACCATAGAGAGGAGGAGAGGAGTCTCTGGTCTTGTCTACAAGCCAGGAGGTGTTTCGATCTCTATGGTTCTGACTATGTAAAGCCTTGCTTGCCCATATTCTAGGATCCTTGTTTCAAAATGAGATTGAGCCCCAAGAGGGAAGGGAGGGATCAAGAAGGCTGGTGGCTATGGCATTGATTAGAGAATTGATTAGAGAATATAGCCAGTCCCACAGAGTGTTCTTGTATGGGTTGTTGTAGGTTGTTCGGGTTGTATGGCCATGTGGCTTGCCACAGATGCAGGCAAAACGTCAGGAGAGAATGCTTCTAGAACATGGCCATACAATCCGAAAAACCTACAACAACCTTCGACAATGTTCTTGTATGTCCTGGAATTATTTCAATACTCCAATATCCACAAGGCTGCTTAACATCAGTACAAAAGAACTCTGGGTACATCTGCACTGTAGAATTAATGGAGTTTGGCACCGCTTTATACTGCCATGGTTCAATGCTATGGAGTTGTAGTTTTACACGGTCTTCAGCCTTCTCTCCCCAAGAGCGCTGGGGCCTCACCAAACTACAACTCCCCGGATTGTCTAGCATCAAGCCATGGCAGTTGAAATGGTGTCAAGCAGCATTAATTCTACAGTGCAGATGCACCTTGAGAAACAGCAACTTTAGCAGAAACAGCTCAAGCATTCTGAAACTGCAAATATTCCAAAAAAATTTCCTTGTTTCCAACAAACCTCACAACCTCTGAGGATGCCTGCCATAGATGCAGATGAAACGTCAGGAGAGAATGCTTCTGGAATATGGCCATTCAGCCCGAAAAACTTACAGCAACCCAGTGATTCCGGCCATGAAAGCCTTCGACAATACATATTTCAAAACTGTCTACCTGGGTGGTTGAGATAGTGACACCTTTGCTCTCTGATGGAACCATATACATATAGGTTTGATTTACACACAAAGATATTTGCAACATTGCATATCAAGTTATGAATCTGTGTATAAGGTGTATATGAAACATACATTAATTTCATGTTTAAACATAAGCTGAGTCGCCTTCGGGCTGAAATGGGCAGGATAAAAATGATGTAAATAATAATTATAATAATAAGCTCCATCTTCGAGATATCTCATTATGTACCTATATGCAAATAAGGATATTCCAAAATAAATATTTTAAAAATCCTAAACACTTCTGGTTCCAAACATTTCAGATACTTGACACATAATATATTGGAAAAGGTAGACTAAAGTCCCTTCCATATCACAAGGTTTTAGGGCTATGATTCCGTTTTGGCTCTTATAGCTGACTTACTTAAGTGATCCCTCGTAGCTCAAGGATAATGGTCCTCCAAGTGTAGTGTCTTGGCGATGGATACGTAGGTGACTGTAGAGCCCTATTCTTGACCCGCATGTTCTTCCACAGTGAGGACATTGGATTCTGGGTGGAAGATGGTCCCAGTAAGGGATGGTTTGATGCGCCTTCCTCTTGCCACATTTCTCCCTTTCACCCTCCACTTGTGCCTCTTCAAATTCTTCAGCACTGATGGTCACAGCTGACCTCCGTTGCTCTTATAGCAAATTCCTATGGGATCTGCAGTTTAGAGGAAATCATTCAGAATCTCAACTGGGGAGTTCTAGTGTCTCAACAGAATGCAGGCCCCAAGATCCCAAACCATAAAGTGGAATCGTGATGCTACACTGGCCTTGTAATGTAGTTTCAAACCAGTATTGAGGAATGTGCAGACAATCATGCAATTTGAGGCCTACATGGTGCCTGTGCAAATCACAAAGCCCTGGTACACATTAAGGGCTTCCTTTCACACGCCTTTTGTGAGGGTTTGTTGCCAGGTTGCTACAGTCTGAAGCTGTCTTCGAACTGCATTAAATGGTCAGTGCGGATGCGGTCTCGGTAGCATGATAGGGTCCTTCCTCACATGTGCCTTTCTCATCTCAAGAATGCTGCAATGTGATTTATGGCAGACTGCCTTTGAAGAACAGTTTGAGACAGAACCGCTTCCTACAGCAACTTGTATGAAGTATTTCAGTTTTATATAACTTGCTACTGTTCATTCCCAATCCAAAGCTGGAGAATGGTTTGGCACAATTTGGAGGTAGGTACAGCTCCCATGACATCATACCGTAAGTTTTCTCAACTGTGGCTAAATATTTCAGGGGAGCCAAAGTTTATCCACTCCTGCCTTGAATATTTAGCCCTTTATAGGCTTAAATCAGGTGAGCCATTTTGTCCTTCATTTTTGGGTTGTACTTCCCATCTTCTAACAGTGAGATTGAGAATTGCACTTCAACACAATAGCCTATTTTGACTGCCTTCTTGGATGCTTCTGTGCAAACTGATTTATTTTTTTTTTAAGAAAATGAATCTGTTTTTTTTTAATTTCCTCTTTAGGAATTTATCAATCCTGCTCACGAAAAAGAGAAACCCCACTGTTCTTTCCAGCCACTTCTTGCTTAATTATTTAAGTCTGTCCCAGGAGAACAGAGTTGTTGAGTGCCTGTAAACTTACAGAATTTATTGGCTGTGAGAGGGGGAACATTTTATTTCCTGAGAAATCCTGTGGAGAGGTATTAAATGCAAAGCTATAGCGAAGACTCAAGTTGTAAAACTCATCTATATCACTGCAGATTTTATGGGACTTGGAGGTGTAGCCGCAGAATGCAGATTCTTTATTACCTAGTCAGAGAAGCAATAAAAGGGAAAGCAGCTGAAGCTGTTCAGTTAGCAAGCAGGCTTTATTACAAATGGGAGTAAAAGTAGTAGATGGCCCAATAATGGGATAGAAGTCAGTAAACAATACAGGAAACTTATAACACACAGGCTGCTTGGTTTCACCCTATGTGATTCTTGTGTGGCTCCAGCACAGCATCCAAATTATATATTTTTATATCCATCCTGTTTGTGCACATTTCTGGAATTTGTCTATGTGCCTTAAAGTTTCCTATCAATGAATCATAACTCCATGAATTTCATAGGGTTTTCTTAGACAATACCTTGTAAAACTACAATCCCCTTGATTCCATAGTATGGAGTCATGGCAATTAAAGTTGAGCCAAACTGTATTCATTCTACAGTATAGATCAGTGCTTCCCAACCTGTGGTCCATGGACCACTGGTGGTTTGCAAGAAGTAAAATATGGTCCGCAGCCTCACCATTACTACACCGTTGCAACGAGAGCGACTGGTCTCACAAATCCCTCTTATAGTGCCGAGGCTTCTGTGGGCAAACAGATAGCAACTTCCAGATCGCATATGTTTTGTATCAGAAAATAGAGCAGATGTGGTCTATCCAATCCAATTTTCCGAATTAGCGCCCAAAATAACCAAACCAAATCTAAAGTTGAGCAAAAACTGATTTGTAAACCTTTTGACACTAATGTTGGGAAGTGGTCTCTGGTATAAGTGGTCCCTTGTTAAAAAAAAAAGTTGGGAACCATTGGTATAGATGCATCTTAAAACTTAAGCTTCCTTCGTGCTTAAGTCCATTAATTAATTCATAAATTCATTAAGTCCAGTCATGTCTGACTCTGGGGTGTGGTGCTCATATCCATTTCTAAGCCGAAGAGCCAGCGTTGTCCATAGACATCTCCAAGGACATGTGGCCGGCATGACTGCATGGAACGCCATTACCTTCCTGCCGGAGCGGTACCTATTGATCTACTCACATAGCCCATAATATCTGGTATTTGTTGCTGATATCAAGTATTAACCAGATCTAGTACTAATTGTTGAGCTTCCAAGGTCAGATTGAAAATGGTGCATATCATTATCCAAGGTACTTAAAAGTCCCATTAAAAACAAGTTATCAGAAAATGCAGGAAGAGCATGAAACAAATACTATGTTCCTGTAAATTTAACATGGTCTTCTTAAATAGCTGTATGAGGGGGAAGCTCACTTAGACCAGATAAAGAAAAGCAGCACTTGTGCCATTTAAAAAGGCACACTAAGAATGGAAAATGCTGGGATTTGGTTGGACAACTGAAGCAGTTCAGGAGTAATCAGTGACAAAATTGCAGACCAAAAAAAAAAAAAGTGTCACCAATGAGGACAATGTTTATGAACGGAACAAATTCTTCAAAAGGGGATAAAAATAGGACCCAAGCAATTACTGCCTAAGCCGGCTTGATATCGATACTAGGAAAGATTCTAAGAGCCGCCGCAAAGTAGCCTCCTGCGGGAGCAAACTGTGCCAGCAGGTCCCTGACATCATGAGACTGCGCCTCTCTCTCCGCCCCTTTCTCCGCGCCAGAGTGGTTTTTCCTTTGCAGCAATGAGGACTAGCAGCAATGGCAGGACATGATGCACATGGATCACAACACCAATTCACGGGATTTCAGAAGTACTTCAATTCCTACACCATAACAGGGAGAAGAAATTATGTACTAGCCACATATGGAACCATTGCAATGATCATCTTGTACTTTAAACTGAGGCCTAAAAAACAAACTCCTGCTGTGACACAGAAATAATGCCGATTGCTGTCATGTTGAAACTGAACTTGCAATACTGTTTTGCTGCAGCTAGTAGAAACTGATGTTCCCGTCAATAAATCATGAACAATGATCAAGTTTGTCTTCTGTATGCATTACTAAAACAGAAGTGATTGCTCTATATAACTACTGGTTTTGACAGTATTCAACAACGAGAGTACGCTGGCAATGCTGCCCTAGCAAAGGAAAAACCACTCTGGCACGGAGAAAGAGGCAGAGAAAGGGGCAGGGAGAGAGGCGGAGTCTCATGACGTCAGGGACATGCTGGCACAGTTTGCTCCCGCAGGAGGCTAGTTTGCGACGGGTCTAAAGCACATCATTAAACAAACGGTCAGTAAGCACTTAGAAAGAAATGCTATGATTATTAAAAGCCAACATGGCTTTCTCAAAATAAGTGATGCCAGCCTAATTTTAGCTTTGTTTTTGACAAGAGTTACATACTTGGTAGTTGAAGAGAACATAGTCTATCTTAATTTCAGTCAGGTCTGTGAAAAGATCCCACATGATATTCTTGCAAACAAACTAATAACATGTGAGCTAGACAATATTATTGTTAGGTGGGTTTGTAATTGTGGGTCCCCAGAGATGTTTTGGCCTTCAACTCCCAAAAATCCTAACAGCTGGTAAAGTGGCTGGGATTTCTGAGCACCTGGGGACCCACAGGTTGAGAACCACTGTCCTAAAGGGTCCTAAAGGGTAGTCACCAATGGCTCCCCTTTCTTCATCCTGGAGAGATGCGACCAATGAGGTGCCACAGGAGTCTGTCCTGGGCCCAGTGCTGTTCAACATCTTTATGAATGACTTTGATGGGAAAATTGAAGACACGCTTATCAAATCTGCAGATATCAGCAGAATGTTGAATCAGAAAGCTGGGCCAAAACTACTAAATGTTTTTCAGCAGGGATAAATGTAATATATCACACTTAGGCAAGAAAAAAAAGAAATGTACAGCTATAGAACTGGGGTGACACTGGCTTAAAAGTATTACATGTAAGAAAATTGGGGCCTTAAACAGGAGTCCACAATGCGATGAAGTGACCAAACAATTAATGCAATTCTGTTTTGTATCAACAGGACTACAGTGTCTGCATCGAGGAAATTAGTAATCTCACTCTGTTCAGTTTTAGACAGACCCTTTATTCTGCAAGATTCAAGAATCAATGCCAAAAATTGATACTAAGTTTATTTGAGCCAAAATTCATTGATTTCCCCCCATTAAATAATATCTTACACAATAAAAAGTAAGCATAATTTTCTGTGATGTTACTGTCTGCAAAAAAAGTCATCAATACGCCGTTTCTTGCATGGGCTTCCTGGAAAAACATTTGTTTCAGTTGATGCTGCTGCCTGTCCTGCATCTTCACATGCATCTACTGCTTCCACAAGCAGAGTTTCATCCAAGTCATCTGAATCCCCTGAGAAGGTCTTTTGGAAGAGGTTCAAGATGGTCTGCTGCTTTGGGTCCTGCTAGGAAACCAAAGCAGAGATCTTTAGAAAAATGTTTGCTATTCTGGAGCAAATAGGGAAGTCATCTCCACTAATCCATAAAGAATGGAAAAAGAAAACTTCAGAGAACAATAACAAGAGGAAAAGACAAGCAAAACCTCTTTAAGGTGTTAACCAATGTTTCTTCCTTTACAACCATGTAAGAGAAGAGAAAAAGGACTAGTTATACAGCTGACAAACTTCACAAGAGCGAATAATGGAGCTACTCCAAAATTATTGTAGTAATCCAAGCACAGCCATGGACCCCAAAAAGAAACATGCTAAGTTTATGCATGCAGCTAGCAGTCAGATTCCTTAGGGAAAGAATTTTGAATATAGAAGGAGCCCTTTCTGGGTATGATTATTGGAACCAATATGTGATCCTTGGAGAATTTGCTTAGGAGATAGCAAGTATCTGGGATTGACTTTAAAGTTGTCATTTTGATTGAAATTAAATTTGCTCATTTTATTACGTTTCTTTTCATCATAACCTTTCCACCCACACGTTTCATCTCCACAGTTTTTTTTTTCTTCCCCCTCTAAAGCATTGGCCAGGACAAATGCCTTTTGCCTTTTCCTTCATGGTTTCATAAAAAGACCTTGCTACTTAAAAACACAGGAGAAGATCCACTGTACCCAGGATTTACATCAGTGCTAAAGGACACACACACACAAATCCAGGCAGTTACCTTGTAAAAGTAGTAATCTTTGGCTTCAGATGTTTCAGAGAACTTGGCTTCAGAAAGGCCAGCTTCACCTAAGACTCTGATCTTCTCTTGGATCATTGGCCTAATAAATATGATCAATTCAAATACAAAATTAAAAATATTTTTCCAAATAAGTATTACGAGTATTTGTCTTGATAATAGTTTTGAACTATAACCCAAGAGATTCCGGATATCATATATCTGATAGCTTGTCCTAACGTCATTAGTCTCATTACCTCCGATGCTTGCCATAGATGCAGGCGAAACGTCAGGAGACGTCAGGAGAGAATGCCTCTAGAACATGGCCATATAGCCCGAAAAAACCTACAAGAATGTCATTAGTCTTGATCCACATTTCACTTCAACACAAAATCTCCTATATTTCTATGAAAATCAGTCCAAGCTTTTTATTTAATGTCCTTCCGTCCTTCTTACCTGTATATACATTCTCCCCTAAGGCTTTCGGACAATTGGCATAAAAGAAGGAGATGAAGATGAAGCAACACTAGGGTCTAACAGTAGAGGAAGTGGGGCCAGATTGATTATGCAGTATATAAAGAACCACCCTTAGAGAGACTCTGGTTTCAAGCCATGGAAACACAGGTAGTGCCTTCATGACTATAAGAAGTTGAAACCGGAACCTTCCGAGAATTCCCACTGTTCTGGAAATCCTTGCATTTCTGACTACAAAAGTGTAAACTCCTAACCAACATGAACCTGTAAGATCTCCTATAAGAAAGTAAAGGCTTCCCCTTGACATTAAGTCTAGTCATGTCCAACTCTCGGGGGTGGTGCTCATCTTCATTTCTAAGCCAAAGAGCCAGCATTATATATAGACACCTCCAAGGTCATGTGGCCAGCATGACTGCATGGAGCACTGTTACCTTCCCGCAGAAGCTGTACCTATTGATCTACTCACATATGCATGTTTTCAAACTGCTAGTTTGGCAGAAGCTGTGTCTAACAGCGGGAGCTCTCTCTGCTCTCTAGATCTGAACTGCTGACCTTTTGGTCAGCAAGTTTAGCAGCTCACAGGTTTAACCCGCTGTGCCACCAGGGGCTCCCTTTGATCTTCTAGAGGCTTCAATATATATGGGATTTTTTTTATAGACATGGAGAGTCCTAGAATGTGGTTAGGAAAAAGCAGAAATTATTTATTTCCAATGGGAGAGGAAATCCGGCATTAAAGGTCTTGTACCCTTTTAAAATATACTTGAAAGGTGTAGAAATGCTGGGATGTGTATGCACAACAGAAGTAGTTCAAGAGCAATCAGTGGCAATGTTGCAGGAAAATTAAAAATAATGTGATCAATTGGGGAGCGTTACAATGAATGGATAAAACTCTGCCCACAGTCAACCTCAGTAGGCAATTTGGGGAAGAGAAAAGGTTTTAAGGAGTAGAATTGAAGCAAGAATTCTTCTGGTGAAACAACTCCAGGATCTATAATCCATGCAAGTCAAACTGTCATTTAATACCATTATTTGAAGGGGGGAAAACAAAGAGAAATAATATATAGCACTCTCTGAAAATAGACTCCCTTTTTTAAATATATGGCCTTGAACATCACTTTGATGGAAAGACAATTTGAAAATTTAGAAAATACACATGTGCAGAAAGAAAGAGGTTACGGTGAATATAAAAAAGTTGTCAATTTGACAGGGATAAGATTATGTAAATTGAGCTAAAAGTTAACATTTGGTGTAACAATTATAATAGCTTGAAGCAGGGCAGGTTTCTAGGTCTGTGAGCCTAACAGACTGATAAAAGCCAACAGACTGTTATAAGATAGCTAAAGACCACTGAAAGAAAGTAAAATCTGGTAAAAGGCAGATAATATGAAAATGTAAGATTAAGAAAGATGGGAATATTTTACATCTAAGGAAAAAAGAAAGAAGAAAATCATATGCAAAGTGTCCAAGTTAGCAGATTAACAATTAGCAGAGCAAATCACGCCACAAGATAAAGCAGAAGAACATAACTTAATTGCAAGAGAAAACAGTAGATGTCAGGGTGCAAAAGAAACCTTCAGCTAACCAAGTGCTGCAATTCTTTGCAGAGCCAGATGGAGAAAGACAGCAGAGCAAAAGAGAAGAAAAGAATGCCATCACTCTTCCCAACCCATCAAACAGCGCAATTTCTTCCACTCTTGTGCTAATTATTTCATGAAGTGATTTACAAGTAAAATGGGGGGATGACTGTCATTAGCTCTCTTTCATGTGTGGGCGATATGTCAGCTTCTAGTTCCTTGTGATCACTTGCAGAAGGTTGAGAGGAGGGAAGGAAACTTTTGACAGGAATGTCTGTCTCAGTGATGATGAACCAGTTTCCTGCATCATCCGGACAGAGCCCAGATAAACCCCTCCCCACATGATAATTCAAATATTCCTGGCTGTGTATTCCTTGTCAGTCATTCTGCAAGATTGCTGAAGAGGCACCAGAGAAGTTATAGAAGAGAGATTATAGCTAAGCAAAGTGGATCTGATCTAACTACTCAGAGCTTTAGATCCTTTATCTTACAAAAAAGCCATTGGGAGCTTTGCAAGCTTAGAACCATAAACTATTAGGATATAATAAGTGCTATCACTAAAAGTACGTCTACACTATCGAATTAATGCACCTTAACATCACTTTGACTGCCACAGATCAATGCTATGGAATTGTGGGGCTTGTAGTTTGGTGTCAGGAGCGACTTGAGAAACTGGAAGTCACTTCTGGTGTGAGAGAATTGGCTATATGCAAGGACACTGCCCAAGGGACGCCCGGATGTTTTGATGTTTTACCATCCTTGTGGGAGGCTTCTCTCATGTCACTGCATGGGGAGCCAGAGCTGACAGAGGGAGATCAAACTGCTCTCCCCAGATTCAAACTGCTGATCTGTAG